CCGTCTTCGCAAACGAGCCCAGTCCAGCATTCTCCGCCAAGGAGCTCGTCGACCCCAGCGATTCGCCCACCGTGTAAGTCTCAATGCGCCGCTGTCGCCACACTTTGGCGACTTTGGCGGAGACAACCCAAGCCCCAGTGCCAGCGATGCCTTATTCTTCATCAGGCAAGAGATTGCCATCATGAAGAAGCTCAATCATCCGAACTTGGTCCAACTCATAGAAGTGTTGGACGACCCAGAGGAGGATTCTCTGTACATGGTCCTTGAGATGTGCAAGAAGGGTGTAGTCATGAAGGTCGGACTCGGTGAGACGGCCACACCGTACCCCGAAGACTCGTGTCGTTATTGGTTCAGGGACTTGATATTAGGCATCGAGTATTGTAAGTGATCTAGTTTTTGCACCGCCGGCAGGGCTAATGCGCAGTAGTGCACGAACAAGGCGTCATTCATCGCGACATCAAGCCTGACAACCTTCTGCTGACTGAGGACGACGTCCTTAAGATTGTCGATTTCGGCGTCTCAGAGATGTTCGAGAAGCCTGGCGACGGCATGATGACTGCCAAGTCCGCGGGCTCCCCGGCCTTCTTGGCTCCCGAGCTTTGCGTAGTCAGGCACGGCGATGTGGACGGCAAAGCTGCTGATATCTGGTCCATGGGCGTTTCATTGTACTGCCTGCGATACGGCAAGATCCCCTTCGAGCACGATGGCGTACTGGAAATGTACGAAGCCATCAAGACGGAGTCTCCTCGTCTGCCCGAGGACGAGGATCCCGACTTTGTGGATCTCATGAATAGAATTTTGGAAAAGGACCCGAAGAAGCGCATCCCGATGGCGGGGCTGAGAGTACGTGCTGTCCGTCTACTACGTTCGCCGCCGCCGAGATTGCTGACAAGATTCAGGAGCATGCCTGGGTCACAAAGGGCGGGACAGATTTGTTGCTTTCCAAAGAAGACAACTGTGCGGCCCTCATTGAGCTCCCAAACGAGCTCGAGTTGAACCGTGCTTTTACGCGGAAGATGAACCATCTTCTCTGCGTGGTGAGTAGTAATTGGCATTGTCTCAGAACGTCTCTAACCTTAGTGTAGATGAAAGCGATCCACAAGTTCAAGACCATCCTCATGAGGCGCAGGCAGAGTCGCAACTCTACGCTCTCGCCACGCGGTGATGGCGGTAATGAGTTGATCGACCAGGACAGGGACAGGGCTCGCGCAGAAGAGATTGAGGCTCTCATCGCGAAGCGCCAGGAGTTCATGAAGAAGCAGGGAGGCAGCAGCGGTGCGACGGACAAGAGCGACGCGACCGAAAAGGCGGAGAACGAGCCGCTGATCCTTGGTATCGGGATCGGTGCTCGAGACGAGTTCGACAAGAACGAGCCGTCGGCGGGTGCTGTGGCTGAATCTCCGACCAACGTCGACTTTAACATTTATGACAAGGCATACGAAGCCGAGGTGGAGCGCATCATGTCCAAGCCCAAGAGGCAAACGACAATGTACCTGACGCGCTTCGTCAAGGACCGCGAGCAGTTCAAGGAGGTCGCCAACGTGATCGAAGGGACGTCCGCGGCCGTTACACCAGCAGGAACGCCGAGATTTGATACCCACCAGGCGGCAGCGAAGGACCGGTTCGCGGACTTGGTGTCCAGTATGACGGGCAAGGGCAAAGACGCAGAGGGCGAAGAACAATGAGAAAGGGCGATCGCATCCGTGAGTCCGCAAAGGCCATGGCTTGGCGTTGGGGGTTTTTCTTTTCTTGTTTTGCCGTGGTTGTTGGGACGATTTACCTGAGCACTTGTGTTCCAAAATATGATACCTGTTCGCGGCTGGCGGCCAAATGAATGGAACGGGACATTGCTTGCTGATGAAAGTTTGGCGGCGGCAGAGCACAGGAAAACATGATTGCGGTTCACCGTGGTTGACAATTTCGTGTGAAATTGGGATTCGTCTTGCATGGGTGTTCCACTTTTGGCCAAGGGGATAGAAGGTCCAGTGCCATTCTGGAAGCTGTGGAACGCCCTGTTAAACTGGGGAAACAGTCGTGGCAGCCATGCTCGGCCGAAGACATCATCACTTGTTCCGTCCTTCATCTCTCTTGCCGAAAGTGGTTTCCACGCTAGTCGTCCATCCCCGGTGGAGATAGCCAATCGCGTGGGAATGAGGCACAGCCAGAAATCCCATCCGAGGCAAGGGGGCCAAACGACCTCCAGTCTCCAGTCAGCATTCCTTCCTTTTTCCATCGTTCTGGCCCCCAATTTACCAATGCACTTTACGGAACGGCGACGCCGGCTTCAACTTCCCCAGTCCCAGTCGATAGGCTATACCGAGAGTTAATAACGTCGTCGATGGAAGCCACAATATCCTTCAAGCGACGACTGTTCTCTAACAGGAAAGATACGCATTTCGACAGGAGAACACGAGATCAAGACTTATTCGCCATGGCCCCCGACGGCGACAGCTTCCCGATGGGCAACCAACCGACGGGGTTTTCGGTAAGCCCATGAAACATACGGACAAGCTCCATTATTCACGACGACAACCTTACTGAACACTCGGCCTTGCCAGCTCCTGAGGCGATCGTTCGTTCCGTCGTTCTCCCTATCAAGCAAACGCTTGAGCACGCCAGCACCCTCCTCTGTCAGCAACACCATGCCTAGTCGATGTCAGGCATGCCGCAACCTAGACATTTGGCGAGCCACGGAACGCCTTCCGGGGCATACTCTGTCCGCCCTCGTAGATGGTGTTGTTCTCGCCAGACTCAAGACTTTCGAGGACCCTCGCGATTGCGATCTATGTCAGCTCTTCTCTCGCCTGTACGTTGAAATCGACCCGGCAGCCTCCGGCTCCGTTCACACAGCAGAACTCCGAGCTTTCCCTCTTGTGCCGCACATTGCTCTACGGTCGCTCAGGCAAGGCTTTTGGAAAGGCGACACCGGGTACTTATTCGAGGCGGAGGACTTGACCGACTTCTTCCTTGCTGTCGTGCCGTCTGACTTCACCCACACAGGTGGTAGGGACAACTCGCGGTTAGAGAAGCTCATCTCCAAGCAGGGACTCGTCATGTGGCATCGGGAGATACAAAAGAACACAAGATTGTTCTCTCCACGCATCGTCACGCCCCAGTTCAACGCTCGGGTCGTCATGGAGTGGCTGGACTGCTGCAAAAAGTACCACCCGGCTTGCCATCGCGGACAGGGCGCCCTGCCCAACATGCGACTTATCGACTGCGAGACCAGAAGCGTCATCACTGTCGAGTCTCTCCCTACCGAAGGTCATCCGGAATACGTGGCGCTTAGCTACGTATGGGGAAAAAGTACGAGTAGCCTCTTGGACTTTACGGACACGGGCACGTCATTACCCAAGAATCCGCCCCAGGTCATTGAGGACGCGATGAAGGTTACCGCTGCACTCGGCTACCGCTTCCTCTGGGTCGACAAGTACTGTATCGACCAGCACGACAGCGGTAAGAAGCACGAGCAGATTATGCACATGGATTTTGTGTATCAGAATGCGGCTCTCACAATTGTCGCCGCTGCTGGAGACGACGAGACTTGTGGTTTGCCTGGCGTGTCCACCGAGCGGCCATCACAACAAAGCTTCTTCCCTCACGAGCGGTTCAACTTGCGCTCGGCCCTTCCGTCGCCTAAGCAGAGCATTCTGGACTCTCGGTGGGCTACAAGAGGGTGGACGTATCAGGAGGCTGTCCTATCAAGCCGACGCCTCATCTTCACGCGAGACCAACTTTACTTCGAATGCGGTTCGATGAACTGCCATGAGAGTTTGCGAGTCTCATTCGACGCCTTGTATCGGCAAAGGAGGTCACACCTTGACGACTACATTGGCCGTTCGCTCTTCGGATCTGAGCATTTGACACCCCAGACGGCAAAATACGACGAGACATCCAGGTTGAACAAATTTCTTGCTTACACACAATGTGCCGAGCAGTACTCAAGACGAATACTAAGCTTTGACGAAGACGGTATGAATGCATTTGGGGGCATCATAAAGAGGCTAGAGTCGACGACAGACTTTCCCGTTCGGCAGATATGGGGTATACCATTCTTCCATCCAAAGGACGACATACTTGCGTCTGCAGGGAACGTGGACTACTCGGGCTACCTTTTGACCGCGCTGGCCTGGAGGCATGAGCTATACAAGCCCACAAGGCGGCGCAAGCAGTTCCCTTCCTGGTCCTGGACGGGATGGGAAGGATCGGTCACTTGGCCAAACCCGGTGGATTCAAACAACATCCATAGTCCAGAGGGTGTCGACATGGCCAGCATTCAGCTGTACCTGGAGGACGGCACCACATTACCATTATCTGAACTTGATCCGCGGAGTCCGGACCAGAACTTTTCGCAACCAAGAGCTCTACTAATTCACACTTCCGCCGTTCCAAGGACGGCGTTCATTTCCGACGGTTCCAACCATAGCATGCGACTTGCAAACGGCGGAGAAGTTCGGCTGTATCCCAGTAAGGAGGATTTGGATGCACCAAAAGTATTCAAAAGGATACAGACTGGACGGTACGAGGCCATCAGGCTCGGCACCATCAATGACGACGCATACATGATGCTGATCAAATGGTACCGGAACTCGGCATATCGGATCGGCACACTCGTCGTGAACAAGTACTATCTAACATACTCCTCGCCTGTGGCGAGAACGTTCAAAATCAAATAGCCCTAATTTAATCACACCCTGCTCGATGCGGCAGGTTTCAGATGCCTTCAACGCCCTCAGACTCATACCAACAAAAGCTTCAGGGGCCATCGTCTTGAAATACTTAAGCGCTGCTCCTATTGGCTGCCGTGAACGTCGTCTTCGGCAACCAACAAATGAAATGGAGGCTGCGCCCGTCGTTTGTGTTGGCGCTAAGGCGCAGCAGCAGGCTGCGGCCAGCCTCACCTTCGCTCCAACAAACGTGATGAATTTCCTCTCTGCAACAACACATTAGCTCTATCTCTTCCGGCTACTATGCCTGACTTATTGTAAACGTTCTTCGCGATGTCTGATCCATTGTCAGTTGCCATAAGTGTTGCGGGAATCGTCTCGCTTGGTATCCAAGTGACACAGACGCTTTACAACTACTACGCAAACGCGGAGTCGGATGTCGCACACATTCTCACGAAGTTGGATAGTCTTCTAGAGCTACTCGATAGCTTACATCGCCAGCTCAAGGACCGCAAATTCCGCTCGAACGACCGTCACGTCTTGGCGTTGATTGAAAAGCATGTCCAGGAATGCGAGGACTGCATTGAAGATCTCCGTGATCATACAGAAAAGTTTGGGGATCTACAGCCAAAAGACACTCTGGCTATTACAAAAGCCCTCGGTCGACGGCTTGCTTACCCATTCCGGGAGAAGACATTGAGAAGGCTTGAAGAGGATGTCGCTGAGGTCTTCAGTCGCATGTCTTCTGCATCACAACAGCTGCAGCTGAACGACACCAGCAACATTCGGAATGAAGTTGAGGAAATCAAGACTTTGATGGACCTAGTGAGGGCCAGCCAGGTTGATAATAAAGTCTTCGAATGGTTGAAAGCCCCTGACGCTACGATCGACTTCAATGAAGCTTGTAAGAAAAAGCACCCCGGAACAGGCCTGTGGTTTGTCCAGGGCCCCGCGTACAAGTGATGGCTCGAAATACCGGGCTCGTTTCTCTGGCTGAGCGGCTTTGCTGGCTGCGGCAAATCTGTCCTCTGCTCCACGGCCATCCAGTACGCCTTTCGACACCGGAGGTCTAACCCACAAGTCGCCGTCGCATTCTTTTTCTTTTCTTTCACCGATGTCGGCAAGCAGAGTGTGTCGGCCATGCTGCGCTCCTTGGTGCTACAGCTGTTTGGCCAACTCAATAGCGGCTGCAACTATGTAATGCGATTACGAGACACCTACCGCAAACTCTACGCCACCAGACCAAGTCTTGATTGATTGTCTCCTCGAGCTTTCCAGATCGTTCCAGGACATATACATCATGATAGATGCTATCGACGAAAGTCCGCGCGACGAACACCGCGAGGCTGTGCTCGAAACGCTGCTTCTCTTACGCCACAAGCCAGGGCTCCACCTCCTCGTGACAAGTCGAGATGAGACCGATATTCGAGAAACGCTAAACCCATCCTTGAAACAACATGTCACGATGAAAAACCTCTCAGTGGACGAGGATATCGCTCGCTACATATCAGAACATCTTCGCAAGACCGCCCGCTTGTTGAAGTAGTCCAAAGAATTTTCCCGCATCGAGACCGTACTGACGAAGCGCGCAAACGGGGTGTTGGTCACCTCTCACCATCACTGGCAGACAGTGCAGCTAACTCTGTTACAGATTCAGATGGGTTGAGTGCCAGTTCAAAGCACTTGCCAGCTGTCCCGTGAGCCCTCACAACTTGAGCAAGCTGCTTGAGTCACTGCCCAAGACATTGGATGAAACCTACGAGCGAATGCTTCTTGGTATTCCGGAGCATGCTCAAGAGTGCTCTCAGCGGATATTGACTGCTCTCTGCTGTGCCAAACGGCCCTTAACAGTGCTGGAAGTCATTGAGTGCGCTGCGATCGAATTTGAGCCTGAGCCAGTGTTGAATCCAGATCGACGGCTAGAAAATGCAAAGGCCATCGAGGAAGCCTGCCCTGGCTTGGTGGAGGTCTACACGGCACCGTTTAAGATGTCCGATTCGCGAACCTATGTGAGAATTTCTCACTTTTCTGTTCAGGAGTATCTCGAGTCCGATCGAATATTGCACCAGAAAACCGTGGCGCAATTTCACACCGGAGGCCACGGCGGCCAAGTCGAGATGTTGAACATCTGGCTGTCCGTTCTGAATGCTGAACATAAAAGGCTCTCGGATTTCATTAGCCTCATACATGATGCCAGCGGACCGCTGGATGAATACGCACATTCACACTGGTACCTGCACTTTACAGAAGGCAAGGAGACGCCGGCGTTGTTAGATCGAGTCCTGCGACTTTTCCAAGTCTCGTCGTCACTTCGCACCATAGTATTCGAACACCTTCGCTTCGATCGCGGTTTCAATCAATTGGATTTGGAAGAAGACAATCTTGAACCGCTAGAATTCGATGTGGATGATTTCGGACGCCTGGAGCTTGCAGGAGGCACTCTAATCGAGGACAAGACCTGTGTCTACTTGATGACTATGCTTGGGTTTCACTCAGTGCTAGTTCGGTTGCTTGCTAACGACAGAACCGACGTGGACAGACCTGTTGCAGGCATGACCCCATTGCAGCAGGCATCCTCAGATGGGCATGAGGAAATAGCACGGCTTCTGCTGGAGCATGGCGCTGGCATCAACTTATTCGGGAAGCACGGCAACGCGTTATCAGCAGCGGCCAAGAATCGTCATATGGGCACCGTCCAGCTCTTTGTGGACCACAACGCCGATGTCAATGCAGGAGGAGAGAGGTTTGCCTCGGCTCTGTCTGCGGCGGCCTGGGGTGGACATACAGACATTGTCCAGCATCTCCTCGATCATGATGCTGATGTAAACGCCACTGGTAAAAGCCTGGCTTCACCACTAGTCAGCGCAGTGACAAAGGGTCACGCGGATGTCGTTCAGCTTTTGCTAAACTCCGGCGCTGATGTGACGGCACTGAACTCGGCTGGCTGTGCACTAATGGCGGCTGCGTAGCATAGTCGCATATTGATTGCAAAGCTTCTCCTCGAACAAGGAGCCAATGTGCAGTGTCGACATGACGGTGTGGAGGACACATTTCATTTGTACCCATTGGTCATTGCGAGTGGCAAAGGAGATTTGGAAGCCATGAAGCTTTTGCTCGAACACGGTGCTGACCCCAATGCCATCAGGTATCACCAACATTCAACCCGTCAGTCCATAGTCATAAGCACTTCACTATTATCCGCAGTCGAAAGCGGAAATGTAGAGGCTGTGCGAATTCTCCTCAACCACGGCGCCGATCCCAACCTGAGAGCGCAGGGTCGTCCCCTGAGGACTGATTCTCGGCCTCTCCTACAGGCGATCAGGTGTGAACGCAACGATACCGAAATGGTAGAGCTTCTCCTAGACTACGGCGCCAATCCGTACGATAACGGCAGTCGCGGAAAGGATGGGGCGCAGCGTCTGGCTCGTTACCTCCGCAAGATGAAACTACGCCAATTGATTCAAGAACATATGACGAAGTATCCGGAGGAAGAGTGCTTAGCAAAGTCTACCAAGATGAACGGCAGTAAGGAAGGGAGCATCGATAGGACCTGCGAAAAGGACGATGACAAGGGCAATAGTAAGATAGTCCTGGATCTACCGATAGACCAAGACTTATTACCGTTACATGCTGCTGCAGCAAACAAGACGTCCAGAGCCCAGATTTCAGCCAATCGTTCCCACGCAGATATTTTCCAGAAGTGACGATGAACCTGTCATCTCTCCTGGAGCTTTTTCTTTAAAAGGAGTCTCTGATGTCTCAAGGCCTTCTTTCCCTGTACTAGTCCCAAGACTCCCCGGCGGCCACCGTACTCCGTCCCATAGGCCCCTCTCATGACGAGAGAGGCTGCCTCACAGCAGCCACATACTATCCAACAAGTCAGCCAGCCGCTCTTCAGCCTAATCACAGACGAAACTCACAGGAATGATCTGCACCCTCTCGAGATCCCAGACCCCGCTCGTAGCATAAACATCGTTCTCAATGATAGCCTTGACATCCTCTAGGCTTTCCGCGGTATACACCACCACGCTGCCCCTGAAACAGGCCTCCGTGGCGTCTTCGTCCGGATGTTTATCGAACATTGCCCCTAGAGCCCGTAAGCCCAACTCTGAATTCACAGTGACCCTTTCATGGGGGCGATGGGGATTAAGACCGTACCTCCGGCAACTAGCCTCCCAGACTCGATGAGGGGCTTGATTCCTTCGTAATGCTGGCTTTCTGGGCGTCAGCAGCGACCAGAAGGCGGCCATGCAGACGAGAAATATTACCCTTTGACTTGCTTGCGGACTTGCAGCACTTTGGGCTTATCCGGCACTATGCAAAGAAACTCCTTTGGTGCCCGCGTAGCCATCGTTCTGGCACCGGCACCAAGCGACATGTTGGCAGTGCGCAGAGCAAAGGTCAATGTCCTCGCATACATGAAGAAAGACGAACGGCTGGGCAGCTGGATAATTGTTGAGAACTAGCCAACTATACGACGATCGCTTGTCTTGTTCATTTAAGAACAGTTTGTGGTGTATGGCATCAGTCTGTGATTGACTCCTTGTTAGTCGGGATGACAGACCCGACACTGGACCGGTCCCGGCGCTGGTGGGACCCGGATGACCAGGCATACACCGAATCAGGCAGGCACGCTTATACCGTTTGCAACGGCACAGGGATGGCGGTCGGCTGCATAGTCTGGGCCACTTACACTCACTCACTCGAGCACTAATTGCGACACAAAACACGATAAACACACGATTAAGGGGTATATTGACCGCTCAAACGGAAGCACATGAACGATATATATAAGCTACCAACTCGCAATTGCAGCGCACCAGCCGTGCACTCAAACACCCGACCGCCAGAGGAATATCCACCCTGCAAGAAAGCCCAAAGCTACACAAACCTAAGAAACTGAACCTCAAAACTTTTTCATGCACCAAGCTATTCGTCGTCATCAACGTCCATCGATTCTTGAGCGGGCCTTCCCCGTGTGCTGCGCGCCGATGTTCTGGTTGCCGTTTTGGGAGCGGCCTTCTCTTTTGGTGCGGGACGGGCCGGCAGCTTCGTCTTTGCGGCTGCCTTGGAAGTTGCCGCTGATCGGCCCTTGCGTCCGTTGGACTTGGGCGGAGGTGAGGCCTTCTCTTCTTCCTCGTCGTCGGCCTCTTCCTCTTCCTCTTTGTCTGACTTTGCAGCAGCTTCGTCAAGGTCTGACAACGGGGAATCTTCCCTATCTTCCTCTGCCTTACCACTCGTCTCCTTGACCGGCTCGTCCTCCTCTTCGTCGTCGCCCTTTGGAACGTCTGAGAGGGCAGACGAGTCGCCGTCCTTATCCGAGTCCTCAGACTCCGATGCGGAACCCTCCGCCTCTGGCGTTGGTGCGCCCTCAATGTACTCCCACGATTGTACGCCATCCCACATCTCCTTGTCATCATCAGACGAGTCGCGCTCGGCGTACTGGGAAGTCTTTGTGGCTCTTCCGCTACGCCTCCGGTTCTCCTCGGGTATGTCAGAGCCTGGGCGCTTCTTGATCTTCGCGGGCTTCTTGGGAGCGGCCTGTTTCTTGACCTTGGGAGGCTTTGGCTGCTTGGGTGGCCTAGGCTCCTTGACCTTAGCAATCTGCCTAGCCTTCTTCGCCGCCGGTTGACGATCTCCCCTCTCGTCCATGGACTTGCGCTTCTGCATGGCTGTCAGCGAGATACTGGAAAGTCAAAGGGATATTCATACCTTTTTCCTATCGATGGACTTGAAGAGATCGTCAAGTTTCTCGTCAATTTCCACAGGGAGGAATTGCTTCTCGGCAATTTCTTGGGCTACCTGGTGCGAGGGCAGAGCGGTGTAAAGACCGACAGGGAGGCCGACCTTGGTCGGGAACGCCTGGAAACTCCAGTTCTTCCTCTCTTGCCATTTTCTGATGACGGCCTGAGCCAGGTCGCTGATGATTTGCAGGTTCTCGCTCTCATCGGGATGGATGGCGTCACGAGTTTGCTTCACTCTTTCAGCATACTTGAAGATCAGACCCAGGTTTCCCTCGGTAGCCACGTTCGAAACGTAGTATAGGATGTAGCGGCCGTGGTCAGCCAGATCGCTAGCATAAGATGCTCGGTCCTCCTCGCTGGCCTCGGCAAGGTTAGGTAGTCTGTTGAAGTCGGGGTGATGTGCCAGCAAAGAAATAAGCCTGGCCATGATGGCCTCCATGGGACGCTGCTCGGACGTCTCCAACGCGCGCACGCGGGAGCGAATCCAGGTCTCGATGCGTTGCTTCAAGTCGGAGTTGGGCTCGAACGCCGTGAGGAAAATGATGGTGTAGAATCGTACGCGAAGCTTGCCCCGGGCCAGGTACTTCTGGAGCTTCTCGATGAAGCCCTTCCGAACCTGGAGCTCAGGATCTTGGGCAGTGAAGGCCAAACGATCAAAGTCGGCGCATGTCAGCAGGTCATCGAAGTGCTTGATGGTGCACAACTTTAACAGAAGCTGAGCAGCAAGCAGGCGAAGCCTTGACTTGTGGTGCTCTGGTGTATCCTTCGTCTTGCAGAGCTCTCCCCTCTTGACAACCAAGGTCTTGAGCAACTTGAAGACCGGAGGCGCCTTTTCCTGGGCCTCTTCGGCCTTCTGCATGCTCCGGAGGCGGTTGACGAGGATGTGCAAGGACAAGCACTTTGCCTGCAGTTCCTCGTCCATGTCGGCATCCTCAACCCACTTAGGGTCTTTGTCGGAAGCATCCCCTCGAACTTGCAGCAGGATCTGCTGGACCGTCATGTTGAGAATATCGTCATCGGCGTCCAAGGTAATCTTGGGCGCTTGGAGCTCCAGCTGCGCGACAGCCTGCAACTTGTTCAGGAAGTGAGGCGAGCCGTACTTCCAGTCCTCCATGACCTTCTGCAATAGACCTGTAGCGCTTACAAGTCCCTTCTCGTCTCCCTTGGCGAGGAGAATCTTGATGGCGTACTTGGCACACTTGACCGGTCGGCCGTACAGAGCATAACTTACCAGAGCTTGCGAGAACTTGCGGTCCTGCGGAATCTCTTCCGGGTACTTCTTTGAGTAAGACGCGCAAGCCTTGAGAGTGTCGACCACTATCGAATCGTTCTCGCTGGTCTCGCTCGGTGCCTGGTCGATCAGACCCTTGCACAGTCCCCCAACGTGGGTCTTGAACAACTCAGGGTTGCGCTGTGAAATCTCATTGAGGATCTCGTGAGAGACGGTGCCATAGCCGTCCTTGTCGTTTCTTGAGTAGTCAAGAATAGTCGCAAGATGGCTGCGGTTGAACAGCAGGCAAGCCGATCGGTAGAGGAGCGGAAGCAGCGTATCCAAAACGGCCGCTGACTGGCTAGCGTTCATACGCTTCACGAGCTCCTTAATGGCTTGTCGCACCGTTTTGTAATCACTCTCGGAGCTGACCGAGTACTTGACAAGCTGGTATGCGCGTCGGTCGTTCTGGTTGGCGAACTTTTGAAGGTCTGTCTTCACCTTGAACGAATCCGGGAAGAATTGTGTGATGTACCCCACTGTACGCTCCAGGTTCGCCGTCTTCTTCGGGCGGTTGTCATCCATCACACCGCCATTGTAAAGCTCGCACTGCTTGACGAAAGTCTCCAGGACCTGTGCAAACTGAGGCTGTCGACCCTGCATGGCAAAGAAGGCCTTCTTGGCGGCCGAGTCTAGCGACTGCGTCAGAAGCAGAAGCCTCTCTGCGCGGATCCGATCCTGTTCGGCAACGCCCGCGTTCTGCTGGCTCTGGCTTGATGACGCTCTGGTGCTCTTCGGAGTCTTGATGGGCGGGTAGTTCAACGGGATCAGACATTCAAAAAGGACGCGATCAAGCAAGATATTGAGCTCGAGATCGTTGGCGTAAAATGCATTGAAGATGCGTGTAGGGATTCCAGAGAGGGCTGCAACAACAGCCTCTTGTCCGGCAGCCAACTCGCCAGAGCCGACAGCCCAGAGCTTCGCCAACAGAGTCATTGCGTCAACTCGAACAGCATTACGCTTGTCACGGCAGCGGTCTGCGAGACTGTTGAGGACGGATCCATCCTTGTCCACGCCTCCAGGTGCTCCAAGCTTGGTAACGAAGTCGCGGAAGCTGAAGAGCTCCATAACCTTGACAGCAGCCAGTCGAACCTTTTCATCGCCATCATTGAGCTTCTCACCGAGATACTTTACCAACTCGGATTGCTCCTCGCGGCTGAGACCAATGCCACCAGCCGAAGTGGCCAAAATGTAGCCAACCGCGTTGGTCCAAGCAGCTCGAATTGCCGCCGTCTTGTCGTTTCTTCTGCCCAAGAAATGGTGGTACGCGGTCGCGTGAGTTTGGGCAAACGACTGAGGCGAAAGTGGCGTTGTGAGAACGCTATCGTAAACTTGGCTGGGCGCCTCATCGGCCAGGCGCAGCGGGGGGTACTGAGCGGGATCTAAAACGGGGAGAGGTGGTGGGCCAGCAGCGCCAAGTCCAGAGATCATGTCTCCGAGAGTTTCCGTAGCCAGTTGTCGCAAATCGACGTTGTCGGCCGAGAGCTCTGCCTCAACCTGAGGAATCACGTTTTGCAAGACAGACGGACAGGCGCGCCAAAGTTCCCTAATCAGAAAGTGAGCTTTTCTGAGCTCCTTAAGTTCCGAATCCGTCGGGCCTCTGGGCGCATCCTCATCGTCCTCTTCATCATGCTTTCCTACTGTCTTTGCTGCAAAACGCGAGGCATCAAGGATGACATCGCTGAAATACTGGCTGACGTAGTGCACCATTTTCTCGGTGCAGACGTTGCAGATTTCCTTCGCCATGATGTAGGCTGGTGGTTCGTCTTTGGGCAACAAAGTGGACTGGTTGCCGTTCTGCTCGCCGCGTTCCGTACGGCTCTGGAATCCACCCGGAGGTGCCGCTCTAAGGAATTGGGCCATGATGACCTCGATAACCTTGGGGTTCATGCCGGAGGCCTCGTCGACAAGGGCGATGAGCATTTCCGTCATGGTATTACCGACTTCCTTGGAAATGCCCTCTTCCGAGCTGGAACCTCCCGAGACACCGTCGAAAAATACAGAAAAAAGACGGAGAAGCATCTCATCGGCACCATCGACATCGTTGATGAGAAGAATACTCTTTACTTCGGTAAGTGCAGTCAGCACGGCCTTGTGCTGGCTGTGGTAGGGATGAGCCTGGTCGCTCAATGACGGAAAGATATGCGATACGAGGAGATTAAAGAACATCTACAAGATCAATTGTTAGGCTGGGCAGAGAATACACAACATTCTAGGGGACTGACCTTGGTCTGGTCCGCGGTGAAGGGCGCGTCGGGGGCGCACAGGCGGAGGATTTCCGAGATGCACACTGCAGTATACGCCTTCACACCCTTGTCTTTATGCGCCAACAAATTGCGTTGGCCCAGGGCGTGGGAGACATCA